CCAGTCATCTCCAAAATCTTTTCATTTTTCATTCGATGGATCCATCGCACTTTCAGAATATTCCGCACGCAGCGTTGCTGGAAACTGTCCAAAAATTTTCGTGACGATTCAAAATTGTGGGTGTTTTGAGGCTTAGCATCAGGGTGGCAGTTTTCGTTTTCAGTGTAGTGATCTTGATTGCTTTCCCGGGTCGGCCTTGTCACACTTTAAAAACACGCCTGGAGTTCACCAGCTTTGAGCGCCGATATACCTCCTTGTCGCGACTGCCATTTTTTGCCAGTGCAGAGCCAAGGCTCATCGTAATCCTTGATATTCGTTCTATTTCGTTAAATCTTTGGGACATAAGTCGAGTCAACCTTATGACATCACTGCGAAACCCTGTTTAAGTTTTTCTTAGCGAATCTTCAGCTGCCTTTTTTATTTACACAATGAACATATATTAACACTATCGATGTCACAAAAAACGTAGAAGGCCAGCGGTTGTTCATGATTGCACTTCCTGTCGTCCATCATATGAAGAAAGGAAGGTATTCGTGAATTACACCCTTCATAATATTTCGCATATTCTAGCGTGCTTCATTTTTTGAATAGAATGATGCCTAATTGTCCTTAAATTTTTATCAAAGGTCAGTATCACTCAGTTTTGTAAATATCGCAGTGTATTGTTCTATATTCGTTAGTTTGACGGGCTGTGTACTGCGTCGAATTCGTTTAACCGTAATGTAATTTCAGCTCAGCGCTTGTTGCAGAATGCTTCGAACGAGCGGCAGCAGCGGCTGATCGATTTGGAAACCGGACAGACGCTCGCTTCACAGGAAGATTTCAAAATCAAAGGCAACGAGGCTAGAAATATCCTCATGCACAAACTGATGCGGCGTCAAGAGGTCTGTGTATTCGTAGCGCTGAGTAGTTGTTACGGAAGCACTTGTTTCAGTCGTCGGTCGTGGTGTTATTAAATATGGTCGGAGTAGAAGACGTCGATGAATACTTACAGGAAGAGGTCACAGAAGAGTGTAGCAAATATGGCCATGTGCAGCAAGTAGTTATCTATCAGGAGAAACAAGGCGAGGACGAAGACGCCCCAGTGATTGTTAAAATTTTCGTTAAATATTCAAATTCCCAAGGTTAAGAAAGATGTATATTCTGTTGGTATTTTCTAAACGGTTCTTCTAGAAGCCGAAAAAGCGAAGGAGACGTTTAACGGAAGATACTTCAGCGGTCGCCAGATCAAGGCAGAGCTGTATGATCAAATGTTGTTTGAACACAATGATCTTTCTGGATAAGTTTTTGATTTTTTTCTCTTGTTTTTGTACACATTAAAATGGTCAACACAATCTGGATTTCGTCTTACTGTGAAAAATTTTCTTGCCGCCAGCAGCAAACTACCAGCAGCAGAAAGTCAACGGTATTCTAAAATTGAAGCGTCGCAGAATTGCTATGCTGAAGACATTTTCGCGGTTTCGTACTGACGCTTAGGTTGAGTGTATTTTGATATGGTAGTTACTTTAAATGACTGCTAGAGTCGCGCTTCCTTGCTTCAGTAAACGCACTGTAGAATGTTTTGGTTCAAATGTCAAATCTGTTGAACATCGGTCAGTGTTCATGATCATTTCAGGCCTCATTTCCACACTCCTTCACAGTGTAGAGGACACATGTGTCCATATATTTCTTACTTTGACGTTACTAAACTGAATATGAATCGACTGCACGTCACGGAAATGCATTTTATAGCCGATTCACATATCTCGAACTCTGGAAATGAGTAGCCCCGAGAAATTCATTATTGCTTCATCTAGGAAAATGAATCAATTAAATTATCTGAAAAACTGCTGCAGAGTGATTCAGTACTGTTTTTCACCTTAAGTTCCAACTTGAGGCTGAGTTGCCGAAGTTGCCGTCTGCTGTCAAATTTTTACCGCGATTATGCATTCATTTCTATTGATTCGCAGGTGCAGGAAAAGTATCTCTACTTCCTAGCAGTGAGTCCTTATTATGGCTGGAATGTTTTCGATCCTCAAAATCTTGGTTGTATCGAACGGCAATGGGAGCTTTCAAAGTTGTCGCAACTATATCGTAGAAGCGATATTATGGTAGGCAACCGCTCTAATATTGAGGCGTATTACTCGTGCTTATTTCCAACAGCGTCTATTTCGAAGGTGTGCAAAGAATTAAATGTGAGGAACCGGTGTGACACGTCAGCAATCGCTAGGCTCTTGCTGTGACTGAGTTCGAAGCCGCTAAACAGTTGTACAATGGACTGAAGGTTTAGCTTGAAATCGAAATGAGCAAACCGTGAAGTAATGCTTTTGCTTAATGTCATCAGAAACTCATCCTCAATCATTGATTTATATCGGTGTAGCAAGCATCGAATTCGATAGTGCCGCTTTTGTGCTTTCTCTAACGCTTGAAATTTGATTTAAGTGCTACTTTTATCGTTGTTTGTGTAGCACGTAAATTGCTCTGAAAAATTAAAATGAGTGTTTTCTAAGTTTATTGTGCGCCTGTTAGATTCACTATAATGAGATTTATTGAAGAATTGAATTTCTCGAGGAACTTTTTCGTTTCGGCTGGGAAACTGGATCATGAGTTTCACGGAGACATGCTGTTACATGTTTTATGTCTTAGTTCACTCAACATTAAACTTGAACCTGAATTAACTTAGTCCATTTTAACTTCATTCAGCAAAGATCATCTGTAAACATTGCACCATGATATTTTCATGAAACCTGGCAATGATCTAATATTGTCAGTTGATGAGTAATGATCATTATGAATTGACTGATCTCACAGATTTGACTTTAACCGAGTCTGCTTGATAATACGACTAAATACAAATGAATTTCATGGACATTATTTCATCACTGCATTTACCTTCTAATAGTTTGTGATTGCTCAGTCAGTAGAATGTTCAACTTCAAATTCAATAACCATGGTTTCGAATCTCGACAGTCACAATAGATCGTTTATCCTTTCGAGCTAGATAAATGCGCATCCTTGCACTTAACGTATGAAGAAAACCAATCGCTGCAGTGATCACCAAGCTTGACAATGCAATTTTAGAAAGAACCTTTAAACGAAGTAGCACTCCTGGCTGATGGCTTTATCTGGCATATCAGCGCAACACCATAAGTTATGCAAAAGTGTCTTACAAATCGAACGTGCTGGCCGGAGGCAGATCGAAATAATTCTGGATGTATGACACAAGGAAGTAGAGAGAAAACGGTTAACATCGTCTAAATTGTCCTGATCATTAATACACTGCGCATCTATTCATTCGCTAAATAAAGGATGACACTCATTAAACTGTTCTCTCTCTTGCTCCATGTTTACGATCGCTAAGATAATTTTGTGCGATTTCTTATTTCTGAATTGTGTAACACTTAGTTCGTTACTTTTAAGGCTCCTATGAAAGCAATTGCATTTCACCAGTAAAGTACCAAAAAAATCATATCTGCAAAGCAACAGAAAAGCAGATCTTATCCAGAAAACATGTGAATAGATATTCTATTATCATTTTCATATTTGAATTGCTTCCTTAGTGCAAGTTGATTCATTTTACTCCGTTCAATCCGTTTTTTGCAAAACGACGTCATTTGGATGGAAAATAAATCCGTACATAAAGTCTTTGAACAGCACTGCACATGCAGACCGTGATCTCGTAACCGAGTGACGCTAAAATTGATCTCCTACCTCTTTCACGTGGTACTAAGAGTATGGAGAGAGAGAGAGAGAGAGAGAGCGATCAGTGTGCAAACCGTTACTTTTCTTGATCAAGGAATGCATGCAACATCTAGAAACGGTTGTAAAGTGTCGGAATTATTGATTTGTGAAGAACACGGACAGAATTTTATTCTAACACTGCTATTCCAAAATTGGCTAGACAAACTCTATTGACGAATATAAGTACTGTAACACTTTACTTCATGTATTACCTCAGTGGCAGATGATAATCGAGTATAATAATCTTTGCAATGAAAAATTTCCACTGCTGTTGACCGGGCGATGACTAACTTTTGCTAGGTGAAAAGAAAAAAAGAGCTTTCGTGGAACTTGGCCAAGTTCTGAAAATTAGCGTTAATGGCATCCGTTATAACGAAACGAACCTCAGAACTTTTGGGAATTGCTCTTTGTTCCATGTTTTTCGTTGAAACATATTTCACTGCGCTTGCCCGTATCTTAGAACATTTTTGTTGGCTATCTACATACCAGTTTCTTATCATGCTCGGCATTAGGGATCATTTGAAAATGGTCTATTTATGCACTTCCCAGTGCTAATTTCTGTCCATGTGCCATCCACAAGGAGCCTTATTTGAAAACCATTGTCTACAGTTGTCGCACGTAAGATTTTTCTAAATTTATGTCTAATAATTACGCTAAATTTACTAGGTATGGCGTAGGTCAAAGCGAAATGTGGGTATAAGACATATACAAAACAGCACTGATCTACATCTCAGATGCTTTGACATAATCACACCCAGTGTGCTAACTAGCTCTATTATTCGTCTATAATCGACCTGTCATCCCTTATTTTGCCGAGATCACTGAAACATAGCGTAGTGCAATTCTTATTGAAGTGAATTAACCGTTAAAATAATAACATTTCTCTGCTCATGGGGCTTGAACCTTCCAGCTCTGCAGTATATAGCTATACCCCGTGCGCTACTTCCTCCCAAACGTGTAGCATGTAACTTTCTGTACTTTTTCATATGAAGTGCTTCTTCACGTATTTAGGGTATAACTAAACGGGAGTGACCCAGTTGAGTTTGAATTCTGAATCTTTTGGGGATAAGTTCAGCGCTTAACCGACTCATCAAAGTTTGATTTTGTTGATGCTTCACCATTGTCATTATCCTGAGTGGAAAATAAAATTACTAGGCATTTTTTTAATAATTTACAATACGGAAAATTTTTTGCACTTGGTACACCAACTGTCGTTGTTAAATCCCATAATTATCCATGATCATGGTAAGTATAAGTAAACGTAACTCCTGCAGATTGTAATTTCGCCTTTTTTCATGAACTTACTGATCCGGTTTATTATACAGTGCTATTAATGCAATGGGTGTTAAGGGTCTTGCTACCTTAGTCGAAGCGAATCCAGATTTATTGCAGTGTGTTTGTTTGAAGGATACACCATTAGTGGTTGATGGCAATGCATTGTGTTACCAGCTGTTCCGGTTCTGTCGAATCAATTTCCGATTCGGAGGCGATTACGAAGTGCTCGCTGAAGCAGTGGCGGAATTTGTGCAATCATTTCGCCTGGCTTCCGTACGTCTGATCGTCGTGTTCGATGGCTTGTTGGAAACGGACGAGTGGAAACAGTCGACAATGGTTGTGAGACAGAAACAGCGCTTAAGCGTTGCTCAGAAAGTCGCCCAGGGTTCGAATCCTTCGTCATATCTTTTGCCTCTGCTCGCCTCACGGACAGTCCTCCAAACGCTTAGGGCGAACAACGACGTGGTTACAGTCCATCAGTGCGCGGTCGAAGCGGACGCTGTCATCGCCGGTCTGGCAAATGCTGTCAAGTGTCCGGTTTTGTCGCAAGATAGTGACTTCTTCATTTATGACCTAAAGCACGGTTATGTTCCAATGGAGACGCTCGAATGGGGGCAGCTGATTCCCTTATACTCATCTCCTTCATCGATGTCACCTGCTTCTGGTGGCGTCCGTGCAAAAATCTACAAAAATAGCTTCTTGCTCGACTATTACCCACAGTTGGACCTCGATCTTTTGCCGCTGTTTTCGGCGGTAATGGGAAACGACTTCGAACAAGATCACGTGTCTTTTAAGAACCTTCTTCGTACGTTGCCAAGGATGGAAGCAACGTCGTCGTCGAGGAAATTTCACCGGCAGGGCAGTTGTCGAAAGCAGTACAATATGGTCGATCTGCTGAAGTGGTTTGAAGGTAAGTCTAGAACAGAGGTCATCAAAGAGATGCTAACAACGGTCAAGACCTTCAAACGGCAGCATTGGCGAAGGTACCTCGCTAACGCCAGTTTCATGTATATACGTGCTCGTAGCACGGAGTATGTAACGAGTGATACCGACGTCTTGACATGTCAAACATTGCTATCCGAATTCCCACTTTTACCAGAGTGGTTTCTGTCCGCGTACTGCGTCGGACGAATCCCGTGCCAGTTCATTTACATAATGAAGTACTTAAAAATATTTCTGCCGACTCTTGTTGAGGATTTTTCGAAGAACAGCGTATTTGACTGCTGTCGAACGTTGCGTGTTGAAGTATACAAGATTCTTCTCACTTCGGCGAACGTGTACTGTGTTCGCGAGTACCTGAGGTCTTCAAACCGGCTTGTTTTGAAAAAGGTATTGTTTCAAGAGGCATCGATGCATTTGTATAATATGGAAAGTTTCGATGTTGCCCAGCGAAGAAATGTGTTGCTGAAGACTTGTGGTAAGACCTGGAGTGAGGAATTGGGCCGATTTTCTTCGTCAATGATTTTGTTCATTTTGTCACTTACTTACTGGACATCCAGCGACGAGTCTAACGTCGCTAAACAGTACGTTTTTGCCATCGTGTTTGTTGGATTCTTATTAAACCTGTCGAAACTTCAACCTATATATTCCGATGAAGTCACAGCAGAAGAGATGGACGAAGAAACAAAATCGTTTTTGGAAACGATACGAAGATTGAAAAGAACTACAGCTTCAACGACGAAACAAGAAATTGCAGCCGTTGTAAAATTTGCACATGCGTTGAATGAGTGGCAAGCTTGTTTTAAAGGTGTGTTGTGGCTGAACACAGCATTGATGTGGCCCTTTGACGAACATACCTCTCCGGCTCATTTTTACTCTGGTCGCAAAGCGTTTGTCGCTTCTTGGTACTTCGCGCAAAATAACTCCTACAAGCGACTTTTTGAAGGTTTTCCATCGGTCCTTCAAAAGTTTGATGTCTTTTATTCTTTGGTCCAGACTGTGATTGGTACCAGAATCAATCAGATTAATAGCTGTGGAAAACGTCGCTCTTCCGAAATCCAGCGAAATTCGTCTAATCGTTGCAAAAAACGAAAATCTCGCATCGTTTTGACGATGACAGATTCAGCCTCTGGTGATGAAACAAAACAGGAGGAAAATTCCAGGATTAAGGAAGAGTGGTATAACGAAGAAAATAGATTTGCAGCCCTTGCCCTTGATAACGGTTAAAATATGGAAATTCTTCTTTCAAGATGAGGTATTATGTTGCAGTAAAGTTGTGACTGACGTTCCCAAGTTGCGGATGAAATTGTTCTTGCTCCCTGCCGATTTCGAACTTTTGGTTTGTCCTTTGCTCATGTTAACTTTAAGAAAGTGGTCTGATACCATTTGCTGTATTTTGTTTGTCAGAGGCATCAAGCAGATCTGTTCCTACAGTAATCATATGACATCTGGGGACTATTCTGATTGCGTACAAGCAGCCATGCAACTTTTTCAGTTTGAGAGGAGGATACAAGTCGTTTGAACTACGGTGCTTACTGTTTCCTGAATGTAGACCCACAGAGGAGCAACGTCGATCTAGACTTCGATTTGCGCTTTCCAGCTTTTGCAAATGAGAACAATGGCCAGAAATTCTGAACTTTATCCCCGACGGCCGTTCATGAAATACATTCAAAGAAGTCGGTAATAATCTAATATCCGACAGAGATTGTTGGCGCACTTGTATTCTTTTAACATGCCTTCTCAAAAGTGTGCACTTTATGTAGAAGGTGACCGATAAGCGGCAAGATCGTGGAACCGTTCTATGAATATTTTCGTATTCGTTCATCCTTCAAGTCCATTAGCTGGCGCGTCTTAGATACATGCGAGTGTTCATCCGGTAATGAGTCGCAAGGTCTTTTAATTTTATCCTGCTGCTGCACTGATCAGACAAAAATTTCTTCATTTTTCTGTTCGTTGGAGGAAGTTAGTTCAGAGAACCTGGAAATCATGTAGAACAAAATAAGAGAGAATTGGATCATCAGAATTGCATTACCTTTTCGTCGTTATCGGGAAACAAACGAGCGTGCAACATCTGTCACGCCGTTGATCGACCTGCTGTTCCACGCGTTCGCATGGACGTCATGGCAGTATAAATTGAATTGTTAAATCTTTTTGACTTTTTCCTGCATACTCGCAAACCGTTCGTTAAGTTGCTAGCCCGCACAAGAAATTAATGTTTCGAAGAGGGTGCATCTTCAGTTGGAATATCGGGTGACGCTTAGCCATGCCAATATTACTGAACCGAAGACTTGTTGCAAGTGTCCCCGTGAGACACCGAGGCAGCAGAGGATAAAATTATCGATTATTCTGGAGAAAGGTTCGCATTAACCTTGGGAGCAGCGCCAGTCACAAAGGTGATAAAGTTGGCGGTTCCTTATGAACAGGAAATGAAAATTCTCAAAAATCCATAAGCATACACAATAAACAAAACTAACAAGCGAAATGCAGTACTATTTTCGCACTTTTGGCATTTGCTTTGTATTCAAAAAGTGCGTTTTAAAAGTTTTTCGCATAAATGACAAACATATGTTTGTGATTTCGGCAGAAAAACTGAACTACGCAGCCTCTTCAAAAATTGAAATGCAAGGATAGCACTGTTTAGGAATGCTTCAAAAACCTGGAAGCAAAAACATCTTTCGTCATCGTCTTAATTGATCATCCAAATTCCATAATGAGCAGCAAGAACGGCAAAAGTATTTCTCATTTCAGTAAATCATAATCTTTGTGTCTAATAAAGTAAAACGGAATGTACAGATGCTTCAGGACATACTTCTGACCTTATCCTGGGTATGCAAACCAAAAAATGTTCAAACAAGAGTTGTTCGGCATTTTCAAGTCAGTTGTTTGAAGTACACTGTTTTCAAGCAAACACTGCGATGTAATATCTTTATTATTTGAATACTCAATTCTGTTTTTAAATGATTGGTTTCACTTCACGAACGCATCTTGGCACTGACAGTGGACATGTTATTCATTTCAGAGGCTAAATATATGCAGTGCAAAACAAGAAACAACTTACGTTCAATCGCCAAAATTTTGTAACTGTTGTCTGATCTTCGACGGCAATTTTTTCGTGACCTTACTAAGGTTGCTATCCTATGCAGAATACAAAAGTTTGTTTACCGTCATCTATCATTTCTCTTCTAATTTCTGTTGATTTAGAAGCAATTCTTTGAGCAATTCCATGTAAGATTAAATGTCTACGTTCATTCGGAGCATCAGAGAACCAACGACAACTTGTGTACTGTATTGACTGCTATTAACACCTCTGTCAGTTTTAAAGGAAGAATCATCCTTAAGAACATTATAAATGAAAACAACGTTACTGTTTTGTTACGTACAAGAAGGAACCTTCTATCAACCTCTCTCTTCTTGCCAATATTGACAGAATACAGTTCTTCAGGGTAAACGAACAAGCCACTTTCAAAAATCGACAAATCAGGGGCTTAAACGCAACGTATAACGAATACATCGAACTCCAATGAAATCAATTTAACCAACAAAACCCCGGTAAGTTTACAATTTTCACTCATTCCGCCTGCATAACAAGAACAAAAGGCATACGTTGGTAAAGCCTGCAGCTGCCCGTTCCAAACGGAGTCTAGATGAGTTTTAAGCACTCTGTAATTTCCGGCGAATAACGATACAAAGAAGCAGACTCAATTATCGATGGAAATTACTTGAGAAAATCGGGTGGTGATCAAAACACGTCATAAAAGTGATAATTTTGCTACAGCATTATAAATGAAGTAAAAGTAACATGCAAGAAAACTTAAAATTAAATGTCAAACATTCGAGAAAGCAGAAACTTGACACTTAAGAATAAGAATTCGATGCTATATAATCATATAAATCGATGATTGACGACGAGTTTCTGACAAGACAGAATAGAATGTCACGGTTTACACTTTTCCAGTTCAGGAAAAACTTTCGAAATCAGTCACTTGGCGATTGCTGACGTAGCATACCAGTCCGTCGAGTTTTCTAATTTTCCACATCTAGTTTATGGAGACTTCTTAGAAAGCTGTTAATAAAAGCAAGCAGCTAAGAATACGTAGATAAGGTGGTGTACGTACTACGAAATCATTTTTAATATTTTGCTGCGGAAAGTTAACTAGCATCAATGCCCGTTGGGTTAAATGAAGGTTTCTAGAATTGAAAGACAACCAGCTGTATTTAGGATTTGCCGGGGGGAAAATTGCGATGCTTTTCCAAGACTCACAAATCGATGAAAACGCATACAAACGTATGGGAGCATTTAAGCTGCAACCATAAGCCATCGCGTCATTGTTCCACAGCTGGAATACTCTTTCATATTTCAGTCCGCTTATAAATCACAAATTATCTTCACCGTTCTCCCAATTAATAAAGGTCTTTGCGCAATTGTGAAACATACCTCGATTAAATGACTAATATTCAAATCCTTCGGTTGCTGAGATAATTTCATACATCTGAAAGATGAACCCCACTAAGAATTTAATGTGACCAGTTGAGCCAATTCGGCTTCCATACGGTTGAATTCTTACCGGTGGTATTGACAGTTAGGACTATGCTACTAAACAATGATAAGAGGGATTTTTGTTAAAGAGTATTATAATTGCAGTGTTGCATTATCGTATTTTTTACCGTTTCTCACAAGTAACATGACAGTTCACAAAATACTATAACTACAGTCTTAATCGAACAGTCTGTAGATTATCGTTGTACCTAATGATCGTTTTCTAAAATACCGTATATCATTTTAAGGCGTGTGTAACGGAATAACGGAATAGTGTATCAGTTTGAAGGTTTTAAACAGACCAGGTATTTGCGATAGGGATTAGTTATTTTCAGCATAAGAGACGTAAAAAATTGCTTAGTAACCGAGTACTTTTGAAGCCAAATTTTTAGCCTAGATCGCCCTGTTTCATTGTTAATGATGGAATGGATGTACGAAGGACCTTCGTCGACGGTCAATCGCGATGATTACTTGACAGGTCGAAAGATCGACAAGAACTTTGAGTTATACGGTTCGAACATCAAAGAAAAGCCAAGTCCGATCGACGTGGTTTGCGAAAAGCAAACTATCGCGCCGAAATGTCCGGGGACGATTCTTGACATTTACACGATTAAGAACCAAGACCCGCTTGTGTCGATCAAGGTACAAGAGGAACGGATCCGTCGAGACATCTTGGATAATCCGATCAAGCTAAAGCGGCTGAATAGAATCGTTATGAAAACACTCGCTAAGAAGCTGAAACGAATGCAGAAAGAGTGCGCAGCCAGCTCTGATGAAGAAGAAGAAGAACAGCCACCTGACAAACACAACAAGAACAAGTCAAGGTGTGCTACTTTTGTCATGCTTATATCTGTATTTTGTTTACTGTTTAGCTGTATATCACTTTTCAAATAGCACACTTTCTCTGCTGGTAACCAGTCTAACATTTCTCGCCTATTGTAGCAAGTAAAATATACGCTATATCTATTTCTTTGGTTCTTTTCTTTTGAGTGCCGTTGAGAGGGGCTAGGCGAGAATGTTTTTAGGACGTACCAAACCAAACCAACCTTTCTCCGCAAGGACTCGGTTCAGCTGCATGTTCTTTGAGCTTTCCTACCTTCGTTATGGTAAAGGTGCATATTTTGATGCCATTGTTGATCACTATGGTTTGTTACTGAAGAATCTCCAGAGCTGCTGCTCTCTGGCGGCTCCATGGTGGGTTGTGGCAGACTTGACGACCCATACGCCATGTCTAAATCTGCGTCGCAGCCCTATTTATCCTGCGTGATAATCGATGCAGTGTAAGAATTCTTTAATTTCTTCCCCATTCCATTGTCCAAAATGGGTATCAAGTACTTCTTTGAGTCTGGCCTCTCGCCTAATGTCTATCCGGCATAAGTGGCCGTA